AGCCCCTCAATATGATCTGGCTTTATCTGTGCCATCGCCCACAACCCACCCACCCTTCTTTTGCTTCTGCCCTCTGCCAATTCCCACCTCTCCCTCATCGTAAAGCTGGTGGACTGTTTAAAGTGTTACATGGTGCTAGGGAAAAGAGACAGTTTTCCAAAGTTCTCCATAACCTACTAACACATGCAAACAGCCTGTGGAAACACAATCATCTATCAGTTTTTATCGTTGACCTGAAGCAAAGAGGTAGTGAAAATGCGACACTATCCTTCTCTTCATCAATACTTCTTTTTTTCTGCTTCAAATGACAGCCTCCTGAAAGATGTTTAACTTAGAAGCAGCAATGGCTGCTGAAAGCAGAAGAAAGCTACTTTTCTATACTAAAGTAAAGGTAAAAAGGTAAAGGTTCCCCTTGACAATTTGTCCAGTCGTGTCCGACTCTAGGCGGCGGTGCTCATTTCCAACCCATAGAGCTAGCGTTTTGTCTGCAGACAATCCTCCGTGGTCACGTGGCCAGCGTGACTAGACACGGAATGCCGTTTACCTTCCCGACAAGGTGGTAACCTGTTTATCTACTCACATTTTTGCATTTTGCATGCTTTCTAACCGCTAGGTTGGCGGGAGCTGAGACAAGCGACAGGAGTTCACTCCATTACGTGGATTCGATCTTACGACTGCAGATCTTCTTACCTTGCAGCACAGAGGCTTCAGCGGTTTAACCCACAGTGCCACCACGCCCCTTTACCATACTACAGCTACCAAAAACCCCTGTCCAGGTGACCATGTTGGTTGGGGAATTTTTAGCAGTTTTAGTCCAAAAAAGTAACTTTTCAAAGCTCTGTTAGACACAACTATGGTTTCCTGTACATCCCCAGTTGCTGTGGGTTCCATTAATGGCCATGCCGTGCCAAACAAAATCCACGACAGCTTGCCTTTAAAAGGGCACAATGTCTGCAATAAAAGCACTCTGACCTGTTTCCTGTGCGTTCTAGTCGGGGATCCTGGCACATGTCCAGCTCCGGAGTGGAGTCAATATCTTGAAAATCTGATCCCTCATCACTGCTTCCCATGCCTTGTAGGATGAAAGAGAGAAAGAGAAGCATTTTCACCCAGGAAGAGAGCTGACATTTCTGGTGTTCAAAAGGGCATTTACGCTTCCACTTAATGTAGGAATAGAGTATCAAATGTTCTGAATTAGGGTGTAGATTATCAAGACAGGCAGGCAAGGTCTAGCCTTCCCTTTTGTCTTTTCTAGATCTACACACAGATTGATATGTTTCCTTCCTCCTTTTTTCTCTTGTCAGTAACCTCCTGGTTCACCTGAGCTACAGAAAGGAAAATTCACATGGCTTGTCCATAATGAACTAAAAGGCTTAAAAAACAGAGGATAGCTTATAGGTTTCTGTAACTCAGTTAAAGCTGTTTCTCCTGTAGTATTTCTTGAATACATTTCTTGAAGGAAAAACATGTAAATTCTTTCTTCTACTCAATTTTGAGTTTCTCTCAGTCACTCCTCTTTACCAGCTTTACGTTCTGCACTCTACCAGAATCAATACCTAATATTTTTACAATTAAGGAAGAGATTAGTTAACGTCATCTGTGTTTAAGACCAGAGATCTTCCGAAACATTGGTCAAGAACCTCTCCTTTCCCACACATCAGAACAAGCCATAATGTAAGTCACAATGAGGGGGCTGTCTCATGCAGCAGACACTGAAGTAGGTGGGGAATAGCATCAAAATACTGGAGGACAGAAACGCCAGTTTACCACTGGGTCTACCAGTATCACCTGAAGTAGTTTCCTGTCCACACTACCCCACCAGCAGAGATGAAATACTTTATCAACTTTCTGACATAAAACAGGAATGGTGTGTCATCTGTTGTTTTCCCCCAGGAAGCCGACTATCTTTGGTCATCAGCCTTTACATACCACGATGCTGTGGCTAAGATGCTGGCCAAGCCATTAGCTAAGTCAGACAGCCCATCCCAGACAGCTGATATAGAGTAAAAAAAAAAGGGCAGCAATTAACCACCTAGTTATTATTAAGGCTGCATTTTAATTCTCATGAAAAAAAAAGACAGACAGAAAGAGAGGCTTGTAGGATCTTCTGCCTCAGGTGTCAAAATAACATAATAGTGAAGGGAAACCATGGTCTCGAGATGCAAACAAGAAAAACACGTTGTTTTGTAGATGATCTCTCGTTTAAAAAAACAAAACAGGCCCAAAGCCTTTAAGCCCAATAGTTACTGCGCCTTCTTCAGGGGCTGTAGAATTACAAAAAAGTATATAAGAACATTTTTTTATTGTAGACAATTTACAAAATAAAGGGCTCTCCTTGTTTACATCCTGAGACCAAGGTTTCTCCGTCATTATCTCCAGCAGATGTACTCTTGAGCTTTTTTGTCAAGATAACATGGCAACCTTTGAGATCTCATTTGCTGCTGCACTTCAGGAAGCCAAATGTCCTGATCCTACCCTGAATTTAATTTCACTACATTAATCCAAGCTATCTAAAAGGCTGTATCTCCCTCTATGACCCTGTCTGGGCATGAAGATCATCAAGAGAGACCTTTCTCTTGATCTCAACTCCCCTCCGCAGGTGTGTTTGGTGGGGACACAAGAGAAGGCCTTCTCTGTTGCTGCCCCGAGACTCTGGAACTCCTTCCCACAGGAAGCCAGCCCAGCCCCATCTTTGTTGTCCTTCTGCAAGCAAGTGAAGACCTTTCCCTTCAGGTAGGCTTTTCCTTAGTAACTGCTGGTTTGAGAGGGTTTTTTTTTACTGGATTCTTTGTTGCTTTTAAATGCGTTTTTAGAATTGATTTTATTGACTGCTTTTTAATATAATACTTAATTTCAAAAAATATTTGTATATTTATTGTTATTAGCTTTTAAATATTGTCTTTTCAATGATGTAAGCTGCCTTGGGTCCTTTGAAGGAGAAAGGTGGGGTAACAATATTTTTAATGTATTAATCATATACAAGCATGTGTTTTGGCAAAGGTAGATACAAGACCATTCTAGAAATGGGTATGGTGCACTTCTCAGAAGTAAATTGAGGGACAACGGATTGTTAGCGTTAATTGATATTTTACTGGCATAGGGCAGCAGCCGGATGCTGATCTTATGGTTACTGATTATGTGTTATATCCTACGCTGAAATCTCGTGATATAGGCTGGGCTATGAATGTTTTAAATACAGAAAGAAAATCAGAACAGTGGAAAAAGCTATTCTGAAGACTGGTAATTAGGCAGAAAACAAACATAACAGCAAATACCCCACTTACTATTCAGAAAATCCATTTAAAGAGAGTATCGGATGAAAAATAGTCCCTAAAACGCATAGAAATGGCTAAAACTGGCTTTCATGCACGGAAGTCTATTGTTGACAATAATTTGTCTAACTAAAGAACAAGAAGCAGGAAGAGACCCCAGAGGGGGAAAAAGAGAGAGAAAACCAATGAGTACCAATCTGCACGTAGACCCAGAGGAAACAAAAGTGACAGAAAGTACATCAAAGTCATCTGGTGATCTACCAGATTATTCCACATGCGAACACCAGCTGTTGTCTGCCTACATATCTTGGTGCTCTACTCCAAGAAAGGTGTGTCACATTCAAACTTAAATGATTTTAGAGGAGCAGGTGAAGTGGACCGACCTGTGAGCCAGCCATACCTATGCTCACGTTCCTCGTCTCCTGAGCAACTTGAACCTCCATATTTCGACTGTTCCTCTTCTCACGGGACCGCTTGTTGTTCTTCGACGTGATGTAGTCATTCATGGGCTGAAGGCTCTCGTTGAGCGGGGTGACAGCAGCAGATGGCACGGAGGAGGTGGGCGTGTTAGATTTTGTTCCAGTCGTGCTCGGTGTCGCAGCTGCCGAGGACTGTCCGGATTCAGACATTTCATCAGGCGGGCACTAGTGTAGGACATTATTTGGAGACATGAAGGAAGAAAGAAGAAAAAGAGAAAAGAAAGGACACTCACATGCATCAGTTGATTTCCCACCCACCCCAATTTACTGGGTCAGTGGCTGCCTTGGAGCACAATGATATATGAGCGCAATGTGCCAAAAAAAAAAAAAACACCCCACAGGTGTAACTACAAAATGAGCAACAGTGGTGTCGATCCAAAGAGGTAAACTTGTGCTTTTGGCACCCTGGGGGCAATCTGTCTGCTGGGAGGGTCAGATGCTGCCTTCAGGCATAACCCAAATCTAGAGTGGATAGGACTCTACAGCAAAACTGGGCAGGACCCCTTGCTCGCTCTCTCTGTCACTTTGATTATCCCTCTCCTCCCTTCTCCGTCTTCCCCCTTGGTCAATAAATGGCCAACAAGCAAGCGATCGCTCTTACCAGAGCCTGAAATGATCATTTTCAAAGAGTATTTGAAATTAGGCTGAAGGCAAGTGGGCAGAGAGGGTGGGGTGTTTTTTGGGGGTGGGGAGGAACCATTTCTGAATTCTCAGATTCCGTCATCAAGCATGACCGCTGGCCAGACTGAGTGGAGGATTCAGGGAGTTGTGGTGCCCTATTTACAAGTTTTAACACTAGAAATTGGCCAGTCTCTCTATTTTGGAATGCCACGTGAAGACAATAAACTTTCAGATTTTTTTTAAAGGAGAGGTTAAAGATTTTAAAGGATTTAATAAACAAAACATCATCTGAGAGACTTAAACCCCAATAGAGTTTACATTTTTCTAAGTTACCCTTCTCTGGGACAAGGGAGGAGACATTCCTCCATAATCCAAAGATAGGATTGCTATAGACTGTAACACCTCCAAGAATGGATTCTACCATATAAGAACCACTGGAAACGTGATGGGCGCAACTAGACAAAGTTTTCACTGCGCAGGTGCCTTGTTTTCTAGATGGAAAGGGAGGGCAAACAACAGGGTCCTCCATTTGTAATCCTCCTGTATTTCCCCCACTGCTACTTCCTCTGTTTTTCCTTACAAAAAAAATCCACAATGGAAAGAAAAATGGGAGAGACACCTACACTGTGAATCTGGAAGCACCTGGAGGCAACCACGGATCAACCACGCCATCCGCCTAGAACTTGTTCTCAAGATAGAACACATCATATTCCATCTACAACTTAATATTGGGCTCCATGTTTACATCAAAGGCGTCCAACTCACGTCAGGCTGAGTTCAAAGTTCTGTTTGTAAAATTCTTATGTTTTCGTATACACCTTATTGGAAGCCGCCCAAAGTGGTCGACCAGGCCAGATGGGCGGGATATAAATCAAATAAATAAACAAATTCACAGAAGAGCTCAAGCCTCCATTTCAGTGCCGATGAAGCTGAAGGCCAAAAAATGGTGGGTGCATATTTTGGCTTAAATCTTAATAAGACTTTTAAGAGAGGGGATTCGACCTTTTAAACATGAGGGAAACCTACAAAAGTTTAGACAACCACGGAGTGATGGTATCTTGGGGAACACATGCATGATTGTCTGGGTACATCCATAGGGCTGGCTGTCATGTCCAGCCCACAGGTGCCCCACCATGCCTTCTTAGGGGGCCTATGAGCCACAGTGATCCTCCCATCGACAGTCACGTTTGCAGAAACCCTCGTGATCCGGCTGCTGCTTTTTCTTTTCTGTTTTCTTTTCCCCCTATTGTTTTCCTACCCTCCTCTTCCAGTTTTTATACTGTTGGTATTTCAGACTATAACTCCCAGACTCTCCCAGCCAGCATGACCTGGACCGTGGGAACATCAATGGTATTTCTGGAGCTGTGGGCTCCCGAAAGATGCTTTTCCTCATGTCTGATGCCAGGCACTAAGGTCAAGAGCCTAACGAATGCCACAGAGGGAGAGAGAGAATCCCTGTCAGCGTATGAATGCATGATTGCTGGTACTTCCCAATGTACAAATGGTGATCACCACAGGGACAAGATGGCTTCTGCTTACACAACAAAGTCCTGAATGCCTCATTGTGTAAATGAGGAAAACGTCAAAGCACTTGTGTCTCTCATGCCAGGAGTCTCACACACTGGGATGCTGGCCTACGATTGTAGATCAACAGAAATATCTATACTACCATAGCTTGGTACCACTATAACTGCCATGACTCAGTCCTGTGGAAACACAGGGTTTATTGTTTGGTGAAGTACTTAGCTCTCCAGTGCAGTTCAGGAAGGATGCCACACTGACTCCAAGTACGTTCATCACCAAAGGAAAAGTGTAAGTTTCCACAGGACGGGACAACAACAGTTAAAATGGTATCAAATCACTATAACTGTGTAACTCTCTCAGCATCTGCCCAGTTACTTCAAGAATATCTGTCACTCGGAAACCAGGGATAACCTCCTTGGCTTTAATCTAGGATTTTACAACTGTTATTTGGCCTACGATGTCACACAGCTCACGGACAAGCAAAATAAAGGTATAGCAGAATGGAAATGAAACACGTGGAAAGATGGCTGCTTAACCCTTTGCAGTCACACCTTCTCGGTGGCCAAGCACAATCTTCTCCAATAAACAACAGACTCGGACGTCTTGCAAATATGATGTTGCTGAGGTTAGAAGTATGTTCTTTGCAGTACTTTGGTGTCAGTTGTGTTTGACTGGACAACAAGAACAGATTGGCATCAAAGTACAAAGAGACTCTCTGTGACTACAGTAGATGTCCAGGTAAGGCTGGATAAATTCCTGCTTTAAACCTTGAGCGTGCTCAGAAGAACTGAGAGTACCAAACTTGAGAGGGGTACGTGCATGGGTGTGTTGTGAGCATGTAGAAAGCTACTCCACCAGGCCACAGGAAAGGATACGTTTCATGGACTACAGTAAGCAAAATATCAGTTCAGAACGGCAGATGTTGAGCAAAGGTAGTTGACCAGATGTTGCTGGACTGCAACTCCCACTGACTGTGGCCAGAACTTGGTAGTAACTTATTATTTGCAATAAGCTTCCCTCTTGCAATAATTCAGGCATAGGTAAAGGTAAAGGTTCCCCTTGACAATTTTTGTCCAGTCGTGTCCGACTCTAGGGGGCGGTGCTCATCCCCGTTTCCAAGCCTTAGAGCCAGCGTTTGCCCAAAGACAATCTTCCATGGTCACATGGCCAGCGCGACTAGACACGGAACGCCGTGACCTTCCCACCGAGGTGGTACCTATTTATCTACTCGCATTTTGCATTTTGCACGCTTTCGAACCCGTAGGTTGGCGGGAGCTGGGACAAGCGACGGGAGCTCCCTCCGTCACATGGATTCGATCTTACGACTGCAGGTCTTCTGAGGCTTCTGCGGTTTAACCCGCAGCGCTGCCACATCCCTAACGCGCCACCACGTCCCTAACCATGACCTTATTTATGCCTGAAACTGCGGACAGGCTGATTTTCCAGGGTTTTAGACTTAATCCTTTAATAAAGCACAATATATCACATTAACACAATGAGGGATCGCTCCTCTCTCTTTCTCTCTTTCTTTTGTGTGTGATGTAACTTAGCTTCACAGTTCCTTTCAGAGTTACAGATGTGTGGACTCACCCAGTGATGAAGGTGGGATATTTAATGGTTCAAGTGCTGTGGTGACAATGAAGTAGTTGGAGGGGGGCAAGTGTGCTTTTATTGCAAGACAAGGGCCCAAAACTTTCTTGTATTTCTAAAGGTTACTGGAAGTAACTAGTATAGTTCCATCTGAAAATGAAATTAATTTTTGAAAACTGCTACTGTAACAATTAACTACCTTGGGGGGGGGGAGGAACGTAGAACCATAACTGTAAATAAGTATGCTTTAAAAGGAGGTTCGCCTTATCCTCAGGATCAGTATCCACTGATTCACTTATCCACAGTCTGAAAATACTAAAAATAGTAAAAGAAAAATCCCCAAAGTATATATCTGCAATGATGTCATTGCCAGAACTGGCCACTGATGGGAGCCAGAAACCGTGCTAATAGTGTTAGCTATAATCCGTATTTTCCAGTGGGAAGGCTTGGAATTGATCTCCCATAGATACAGGGGACCTACTGTAACTTCCCAAACTTTGGCCCCAGCCAGCATAGCTAGTGATAACAGAATACAGGAATTGCAGCCCACGAACATTTGGAGAGCCCTAGTTGCCCACTGGTAGGGTCAAGGGACGGGTCTAGCCTGCAAAGGGTTATAGACACACAGCGGTCTTGCTGTCCTGATGGAGATGCCAGTTGACGATAGGCAGCAAGCCCTCGTTTCCATGAAGGTGTTAAAGAAACCTTGTAGCCGGAGTTGGACTGCAGCTGGCCGAGGTCACTCAGGTGCCAGTGGTCCACTGGGGGGGCGACCTTGGCCCCCACCTGCCCACGTACCATGTCATCTGTAAGGGGGATGTTCAGGGAATTAGGACGTCTCTTCATGCTAGAGCAAAAAAGCAAGACAGACAGAGAGAGAGAAAGAGACAGAAGATAAGAAACAGTCCAGAGAAATCTTGGTTGCTCTCCCTCAGGCCAGGGAAAGCCCTTTCTATCTAGGCAGTCTTTGGACAACTGGCTGACAGAGGGAATGTATTTTCAAATTGAGTATCTTTTAATACCCTAACCTGTTGTGGTTATATTGATATCTTTTTAGTTAATCTTGTAGTGACCCTTCCTAAGAGCCAATTTTGGGTATAACTCAAAGAAAGAAATAAAGAAAGAAAATGATGCCTAATTCTTTTACTGGTGTTCTTTTGGGTAAATGCTTTGCTTGTTTCATATATTTCTGTATTTCTATTCCTCCAAGGCAAGCCATCATGACTCCTACTCACAGAAGACAGGCAGGATTTAAACTGAAATTGATTTTTTTTTAAAAAAAATCTTTTAAAAAATAAAATATTTCCTTGTTTAAGGGAATCATTAGGAGGAAGTGATGCCCCTTATATGAAACCAGAGGAAAGCAAGGCATGGACTTGAAAAATTACCATTTCCCCCCATGATCAATCTTGGAAAACCTCCAGCCAATATGGCCAGTGAAATTATATTGGGAGTTAAGAGTCCAAAAGAAAAAGGGAATTTTCTGAAGTTGCCTTCTGGCCCACTCTATGTTGTTGGGCTACAGTTTCCCTGATTACTCACCACTGGCTGTGCTAAAAGGAAGGACCTAATACAGTCCAATATCACGGGAGCTGGGGTCCAACAGCATGTTGAGGGCAACACATTCCCCTTTGCAACGTATAGACATATGTGACCCACGTGAATACAGAAGAGCAAGACTATGCACATGGTCACCCAGCTACTTTAAAGAGAGAAACATCCTCAAGCTGTCAAAAGACCCCCACCCTGCATAACAGCTGCCCCCCAAAAATTACCTTTTCCTCCATGACTGTCGATGGCTGAAGTGATAAACAGAGAACAGCCAACACAAGAGAGGCCACAGGACAAGAAGCGAGACAAGAGAACAAACATTAGAGTGCAAAGATCATGCAAGCAGACGTACACGTGTGGTTTACAGGTACACAGGACCAAACGCTCACTCGAGCGGTGACAAAGACATTGATACCCAGCCTTACAAACATGCAGCAAACCCAAAAAGACAACAATACATGAAACAACAGAGTATTTTGTCATCTGTGAGACTAATAAGATTTCCCCTAGCATGAGGGTTTGTGAATTGCAATCTGCTCCCTCAGAAGCACAGAGAATCGTAGTAGAGCATCAAGTAAGATGCTACCTGTTAAGAGAAATTTGTTAGTTTTAAATAAGCCACATGATTTGCCATTTCACTAGAACCGAATCACACAGCGGTTCCTTTGAAAAATAGTTAGGTTAAAAAAGGGGGGGAGGCGACTGTAGTCCCAGGATGTACGAAAAAATGATGCTCTTTATTCCAGTATAAAATGGCCGATGTGTTTCAGCCCATCAGCCTTCTTCAAGGGCATGTCTGTTAAACGCCAATTAGTTCTTTTTCTGTTTATTCCGTCTGTGGCCATCCCCATTAATTCAATTTATCTCATGGAGTTGGTCACAGAATTGAATAAACAGAAAAAGAACTGGAATCTTAGAACTACAGAGGTGGAAGGGACTCTCTTCTACATTGTGGGACTACAGTTTCCTCTTTTTTGGGGCCTATTATTTCAGTGGATGCACCAGTTCTTTCTGTTCTTACATCTTTTGAAAAATCCAGCCTCGTTGTTGTGGGGACAGCATGGAGCAGGAAGAAAGGGCTGAGTGTATCCTTAAGATCATGAGAATGAAGGTGACATATGAATGCAGCTCATAAACAGTAGGACCTGCTAGGGGTGGGCAAGGCAGCCACTGTCACGCACATCGGCTTGTGATGTCTCTGTGTACAACCTGAGGCATGATATTCTAGCAGTTTTTACAGAATTGGTCAATGAGTTTTTGCCAGGGTAAATCAATTCAAAACAAGCTTACAATAATTAAAAAATCCAATCCCCAATCAAGGCAGAAATTCAAGTTAAGATGTATCTGTCTAATGGCTGTCCAGCTTTCTCTTGAAGGCCTCCATTACTGGAGATCTCACCAACGTCTGAGGTAATTGGTTCCATTATCGTACTGCTCTAACAGTAATTGAAATCTGGCTTTCTCTAACTTGAGGAGATGATTCTCTGTATGATCATCTTTCAAATATTTGAAGAGTGTTATCATATCTCCCCTTAGTTTTCATTCCTCAAGGTTAAATATGCCAAATTCTTTCAGTCTCCCCCCCCCCAGGACTTGGCTTCCAGCCACCAGACCATCGTAGTTGCCCTCTTCTGAACTTCTTCCAGTTTGTCAGCATCGTTCTTAAAGTTAAGTGTCCAGAACTGGACACAGTACTCAAGATGAGACCTAACTACTGCTTAGTATAGGGCAGACTAGTACTCCAGATTTGCAGACAAACCTTCTCTTAATCATAGAATTATAGAGTTGGAAGGGGCCCATAAGATGAAATAAGAAAAAAAATTCCAGTCTGTTATCATTTCTCCATCCTCATTGAGCAGCTAAGCCACTGTTTCTTTTCTCTGTCCTTTGCTCCACACATACCTTCTGTTGCTTTTGGCATCTCTTGCTAACCTCACACACATTCCTTTTGTTGCGTTTAGCATCTCTTGCTAACCTCAGCTTTTCCTTTTTAATGCCATCTCTGCAATTCTGTACTAATTACCTGTACTCTTTGTGGCCTGGCCTTCCTACCTCTTTCTATATGTGAACCTTTTAGTTTTTTGTTTGTTTTCAGGTTCTCTCTGAGCTTTTCGTGAAGCCACCTTGGTCTTTTCTGCTGTATTCCACCTTTTTGTCTTGTTGGAATTGTCTGCATTCGTGTCTTGAGAATTTCCTTTTTAAAGAAACTCCCGCCCACCTTGGTCTCCTTTTCTTGTTAGAATCTCCTGCCGTGGGACCTTACTTATCATAATTCTGAGTTTATTAAGATTGGTTTTCCTAAAACCCAGCATGCACATGCAGCTACACTCTGCTTTGGTTTCCTTTGAAATGGAGAATTCAAGTAGAACATGGCCACTTTTCCCCAGGGTTGCCCTTAATGAGGCTCCTTCCACCAAGTCATTTCTATTGGTTAGAATCAAGTCAAGGATAACTAATCCTCTAGTTTCTTTCTCCACTTTTTGTAGGATAAATTTCTCAGCAACACAAGCCAGGAGTTTATTGGAAGGACATATTTTGCAGAATTTGTCTCCCAAGAAATATAAGAATAATTGAAATCTCCTATATCATATCTCTCCGAAATTTTTGCAATGTTTTTCAAAAGTTTCATCTGTATCTTCTCCTTGACTGGGCAATCAGTAATAGACTTCAACTACCATGTTACTTTTGTGTGTGAACTAGATTTGGTGGACAGAGTGCCTGAAGAACTTTGGATAGAGGCTCGTAACATTGTCCAGGAGGCAGCAACGAAAACCATCCCGAAGAAAAGGAAATGCAAGAAAGCAAAGTGGCTGTCCAACGAGGCCTTAGAAATAGCAGAGAGGAGAAGGGAAGCAAAATGCAAGGGAGATAGGGAAAGTTACAGAAACTTGAATGCAGACTTCCAAAGAATAGCAAGGAGAGACAAGAGGGCCTTCTTAAATGAACAATGCAAAGAAATAGAGGAAGATAACAGAAAAGGAAAGACCAGAGATCTGTTCAGGAAAATTGGACATATTAGAGGAACATTTTGCGCAAAGATGAACATGATAAAAGACAAAAACGGGAGGGACCTAACAGAAGCAGAAGACGTCAAGAAGAGGTGGCAAGAATACACAGAGGAATTATATCAGAAAGATGTGGATATCCCGGACAACCCAGACAATGTAGTTGCTGACCTTGAGCCAGACATCCTGGAGAGCGAAGTCAAGTGGGCCTTAGAAAGCCTGGCTAACAACAAGGCCAGGGGAGGTGATGGCATTCCAGTTGAACTATTTAAAATCTTGAAAGATGATGCTGTTAAGGTGCTACATTCAATATGCCAGCAAGTTTGGAAAACTCAACAGTGGCCAGAGGATTGGAAAAGATCAGTCTACATCCCAATCCCAAAGAAAGGCAGTGCCAAAGAATGCTCCAACTACCGTACAATTGCACTCATTTCACACGCTAGCAAGGTTATGCTCAAAATCCTACAAGGTAGGCTTCAGCAGTATGTGGACCGAGAACTCCCAGAAGTACAAGCTGGATTCCGAAGAGGCAGAGGAACTCGAGACCAAATTGCTAACTTGCGCTGGATTATGGAGAAAGCCAGAGAGTTCCAGAAAAATATCTACTTCTGCTTCATCGACTATGCGAAAGCCTTTGACTGTGTGGACCACAGCAAACTATGGCAAGTTCTTAAAGAAATGGGAGTGCCTGACCACCTTATCCATCTCCTGAGAAACCTATATGTGGGACAGGAAGCAACAGTTAGAACTGGTCATGGAACAACTGAGTGGTTCAAAATTGGGAAAGGAGTACGGCAAGGCTGTATATTGTCCCCCAGCTTATTTAACTTATATGCAGAATACATCATGCGGAAGGCTGGACTGGAAGAAACCCAAGCCGGAATTAAGATTGCCGGAAGAAATATCAACAACCTCCGATATGCAGATGATACCACTCTGATGGCAGAAAGTGAGGAGGAATTAAAGAACCTTGTAATGAGAGTGAAAGAGGAAAGTGCAAAAAACGGTCTGAAACTCAACATCAAAAAAACTAAGATCATGGCCACTGGCCCCATCACCTCCTGGGAAATAGAAGGGGAAGATATGGAGGCAGTGTCAAATTTTATCTTCCTGGGCTCCATGATCACTGCAGATGGAGACAGCAGCCCTGAAATTAAAAGACGCCTTCTTCTTGGGAGGAAAGCGATGACAAATCTGGACAGCATCGTGAAAAGCAGAGACCTGCAGTTTAGCCTGCAGCGCCACCACGTCCCTACTTCTCCAAAGTTAGGTCAGATAAATATTTCATCATGTTTACCAAAAGATTCACTGAGTTAAATTTGTGCATATACAGGGAAACTGATAGTGGTAAACCTTCCTCTTTTAAGTAATACTCCTGCCTACAAGAAGCAAATCTCAGGACAGAAGGACAACCACAGAAGCATAGACATGCACTGTCAATCCACAACTACTTGTGGCTAGCACATTGTACGGTGCAGTAGCATACAAAAACAAACGGATGATGAGGACGGATGAGGGATATGTAGTGTGACATGCACAAACCAAGCATTAAATGGACAAAGTTTCTCTCCTCCCTCCCCCTGCCCCCGTAAAATGCTGGGCAATGATGAGATACCCAACAATGAGCTATACGACGTGGGCAGAAGGCAAGACAACACTGCCTGAGAGGAAGGTGGGGGCCTTGACACTGATCAGCTGATCACAAGAAGGTAGACCAGACTCTTCTCCCCCTCTCTTTTGGCAGGGACTTTGCCAAAACATGGCAATTCTCCTGCCTCTGAAGCAACTAGACTGAAAATAAGAGGGATAATTTCTCTAACACTGGTTTGCCTTTTGTTTTTCACCTGTCCCCATCACATTCCTCACAGTTCGTTTTACACGTGCAAAAACTGGGGCGAAACTAATTTATGGCTTGAATCACTGGAAGCTTTAATATGCTCTCTTGATACAAATATCCTATATGCAGGACCAATTTTTGTGATTTTTAAGTGTGTGTGCACCAAGAGTATGATCTGATGCCCTTGATTTGAAAACGTCTGTTCCCAACCAGTGAAAAGTTAAGCTTTCTATTTAGGAGCAGCAACATATCAGAAATAAAGATATTCTACAGGACAATAGTCTTTAACCTTCTTTGGCTTCTGAAACAGTCTTTATTCCCAGGTTGAAGTATTTCTTCCCCTGTGCATCTATTTTCATTTCCCTTGTTTTTCTCGGTTAAGTCTTGACCTCCCTCTCCCTCATGCCAGTTTCCAGTTCCTTCATTTTCCCCCTCTCCTCTTTTTTTTTCATTCTTATTTTCATACTGGTGCATTTGCTGCAATGAACCTGAAGCTGTTTGGCAGCTAAATGAACCAGAACAAAGTGCAGAATCGGTGGTCCGTGCACATCTCTAGATCTGTCCCACTGGTTGAAGAGCTGGGGGTGCTTGTTCCTTACAACTTTCTCTAGCTGCCATCCCTAGAACTACAGTTCCGTTTCTGCTGCATCCTGGAGAAAACAGCTGGGCTGAGGAGAACTGTAATGGAAAGCATTTCCAGACACAAACACTCCTCTGCTTCAAATCACACCCTTCTACTGTGTTATGAATGTACTCAGACAGCAAGAAAGGAGCACATTTGATCACAACAGAAAAAATTGCTTTGTCAGGAGTGATTTCTCTAAAAGTGACCCTTCCATCTGTCAGGAAATCACTCCAGCCTGGCCCCAGTGGGCTAAAAAGGCACAGATCAGGACTGGCCTGGCGTGCTATGGCCCATACATCATGTGATCGCTGGGAAATAGCTCACACTGGACCACGTCACAAGTGATCCCACATGAGAGCTGTTCACATGTGCCCACACCCTAACTCTTTGCCAAAGAACTGGAATCCCAGAGCAAAGCTGCCCCCGATTATCTTGTGCCACCTTCCCTGGTGACTGTTAGTTCTAGTCCAACCCATCAGGTGGGTATGAGGTTGGAGAACCAGTTCTCCCCTTATTCCTGCACCCAATTCCTTCAGACCTCATCCAGTATGCTCACAGCTGGGCGAGGCACAAAGCTATCGGTCTGGCTCATCACCTGATTCTTGGGAAGGATATGGGGTTTCCAGCCCAGTTTAGGAAACTATCTCTGAAGAAATGGATGGATGGGCATGTCTTCTAGTCCACTGGTTCTTAACCTTGGGTTACTCAGGAGTTTTGGACTGCAACTCCCAGAAGCCTTCACCACCAACTGTGCTGGCTGGGATTTCTGGGAGTTGCAGTTCAAAAACATCCGAGTAACAAAGGTTAAGAACCGCTGTTCTAGTCCATCAGAAAACATAGGCAAGGGCCAAGAAAGAGTGGATCAGTTTTTCCCCTGAAAGACCTTTCCACCATTCAGAAGCGCACCTGTGTTCTTTCAGAGACAGAAGCAAAGGCAGTCCTACCTTCTCCCAGGTAGACCACTCTCGTTTTGGCTATTTCCAGCTGCAACCTGCTGCATTTTGGATCGCTCAATGTGCTCCACATAGGTCTGAATCATCTGCAAAAGGTGGGAAAAACTGTCAACGCAGATCCTACTTCTGTCTTAGAACTGCCATCTAAGCATGCTTTGCTTCTTGGCAACCATTTCTTTCAACACCAGCAGTTTCCTTTGGGGCCAACTTTTGCATCTTTCCCCTAAAGGAAAGCTCTTCCACAGAAACCCCATGGCCTTCTAGATGTTGTTGGACTCCACGGCCATCAGCATGGTTGATGATCCAGAAAGGATGATGGCTGTAGTCCAACATAGGCAGAGGGCACCGCATTAAGGAAGGCAGATTTTTATTAATGAACTCTTATCTGAAATGCCAGCAAATACGAGATGAGGTACCTCTGTGTGCCGTTGGTGAAGGGCATTGTATTCTTTCTTCATTTCTGACTCTCGCTCTTCCAATCGAGAAACTGTTCACAAGGAGAGGGAGGAAAGGTGGACAAAGAAAGAACATCTAATCTATCAGTTCCAGAAAGAAAAGGACAAATGATAAATGACAAACCACCAGAAAGAATCAGTTCCAGAAAGAAAAGGACCAATGATAAATGACAAACCACCAGAAAGAATGTGAGCTTGCTATATTAATCAGTCTCAGCTTATTACCGTCCATTTGTTGTTCTTCCAAACACACCAATAAAAAATTGGAATTCCCCCCCCACACACACACACACACTTGTGGCTTAGTAACAGGCAACACGCTTCGCATGCCTAAGTTCTCAGGTTCAACCGCTGGTGTGTCTCCAGATAAGACCGGGGGAAATATCACTCTCAGAAACACAAGGAAGCACCTCATACTGAAGTAAATGAGAACGTAGAGCAGCTCTAAATATATTCAAGCCTGCAAGACTAACTACATGCAAGGGTACCAAGGGAACCTGTATATGTAATTTGAAAGCCTCTGTCTATAAATACTTAGAAAAGTACACTATGGTTACTAACAGCCAGCGTGGGTTTCTCACCACGCCAGACTTCCAGCTGTTGACAGAATCCACTAAACTCAGAAGAGCTGATCCTGGAGTGACTGTGGCTCTCCAGGATTTCAGGTAGCAGCTCTTCCCAGAGCTTATAGTGTGGAAAGTAACTGGAAAAGTTGCTTTTTGGAACTACATTTCCCAGCTTCAGAGAATTCTCCAGCTGAAGGAGGTGTCATCCAAAAGAGAAAGATCTCCCAGCTTTGATCCTGGCTGAATATAATCTATGAGGGTTTTTTTTTTGCAAAAAACTAAACGTTCCCAGAAATATGCAGTATAAAGATAAGGCCCACGTAAGAGAACACAAGTTGTGTCACACGTAGGCTTTTCACTTACTTTGATCTGCATAGTTTTTGGCCTTCAGCTCCAGCTGCCGTGTTTGAAATTCAAGGTGCTCGACCTGTACCTGCAGTTCTTTCTTCTCTTGTTCCAGGGCATCTTCGAATTCAATGAACTTCTAATATGGGACAAGACCAGAGAAATGGGGTGTAGGTGAGTCAAAAGTCACCATCTTGGACTTGACACAGTGACAGCCAGGACCAGCTCAAGTCATCTTATTGCCTGAGGGGAAGTGAATGACAGCCTCATGAATGGATAGGCAATATATATTGCATATTCAAGGCTAGCCAAGTTTTTGACAGCTGAGGTACAAAATCCTGCAAGTGCCTCTCCTCTTCTACACAACAACAACAACAACTAGCCATTTTTAGCCCTCTCTTGACCTGAAAATTAGCTCCCTGAGGCAATAGTAGGAACAGGACATTTTGGAAATTGATCATTCATAGGGTTGCCATAAGTAGGAAGCAACTTGATGACATATAACAACCAACATGGTAGGAATGCTGTAGATACTTCATATAGCTTGACTTCAGCAAAGCTTTTGACAAAGTTCCCAACGGTATTCTGATTAGCAAGATAACTAGGTGTGGGCTGGATAAAACAACAAGCACTCTCTAAGTTTCTCCCGTACTCAGAGAGTGCTTATCAAGGGCTCCTTCTCAAACCGGGAGGAGACAAGGTGCTCCTCAACATTTTTATTAATGACTTGGATGAGGGGCTGCAAGGATTGCTTATCAAATACAGTGGTGCCTCAGTAGACAGTTACCCCACATGAGTGTTTTTCGCTAGACATTGACTTTGTGCGATTGCTATAGCGATTCGCAAAACAGTGATTCCTATCGGGGAATTTCGCTGTACAATGTTTGGTCCCTGCTTCGCAAACCGATTTTCGCTAGACGATGATTTTGACAGCATCCTCCGTGCTTGCAAAATGGGCGTTTTCGGGACCTAAGCTTCGCAAGACAGTGATTTAAACAGTTGATCAGCGGTTCGCAAAGCGGCTTTCCTATGGCCGATCTTCACTAGACAACGATGATTCTTCCCCATTGGAACACATTAAACAGTTTTCAATGCATTCCAATGGGGAAATGGTTTTCGCTAGACAATTTCGCTAAACAGCGATTTCAGTGGAACAGATTATCATCGTCTAGCGAGGCACCACTGTACACAGATCGCACAAAACTGGGTGGAACGGTTAATACCCTGGAAGACAGAAACAAAGTTCAATGAGATCTTGATAGGCTCGAGAACTGAGCTGAAAACAACAAGATGAAATTTGATTGGGTTAAGTGCAAAGTTCTACACTTAGGGGAACAAACAAACGCACAGTCACAAGATGGGGCACATGTGGCTCAGTAATGCTACAAGTGGGAAGAATCTTGGAATTGTTGTAGATCCCAAGCTGAATACAAGCAAGCAGTGTGATGTGGCTGCAAAAAAGGCAAATGCTATTTTAGGACACATTAGCAGAAACACAGTCCCAAATCACATGAAGTACTAGTTCCTCTCTATTTGGCACTGCTTAGGCCTCCTCTTGAATACTGTGTCCAATTCTGGACACCACACTTTAAGAAGGACGCAGACAAACTAAAATAGATTTGAAGGAGGACAACAAGGATGATCAGGGGATTTAAAACCAAGCCCCATGAGGAAAGACTGAAAGATCTGAGCATGTTTAGCCTTGAGAAAATAAGACCGAAAGGCAACTTGAAAGGCTATCATACAGAGGAGGGACAAGACATGCAGGAAGCCAGATTTAGGTTGAACATCAGGAAAAATGTCCTGTTAAAGCAGTACAACAAGGGAACCAATAATTTTTATTTTATTTTATTTATTTAAAATATTTGTAGTCTACTTTTCCCCTTAAAAAGGGCCCTAGGCAGCTTATCAGTTTGGGGGATACCCTGGGAGATGGTGAGATCTCCAACACTGGAGATAGTCCAGAGAAAGCTGGACAGCCATCAGTTAGATCTACTTTGACTGAGATTCCTGCCTCGAGTTGCACCCGATGGCCTCCCAACTCCACAATTCTATGATTCTCCAAAGCTTGTTGCAAATACAGTTCCTCCAACTCAACATTGCAAGAACAGCTGTCTAATCTATATCCAGAATATATCATATGAAAAGCTGGATTAGAGTCAGAAGAAGGAAGACATATGAATAATGTATATACAAATGATAATATATTGTCTGCAGAAAATAGCAATGAAGGTTAAGGAAGGGCAAAAATAGGGCTACAACTGAACATTAAAAAAAAAATCAAAAGCAATGGCTATAGAAGCCTAGGGCTACAACTGAACATTAAAAAAATCAAAAGCAATGGCTATAGAAGCGTTACTTAATGTTAATGATGACAATGAAGAAACTGAAACTGCTCATGCTGTTCTGTACCCTTGGTTCAATCATGAATACAAATGGAGATAATAGCCATGAAATCAGATGTAAATGGGTACTTGTAAGGCCAGCTATGAAGGAAATGAAACAGACCCTCAAGACTATGGGTAGAGATGAAGCCAAGATCACCTGTAGTAAGACGTTCCCGATAACTATGCATGGATGTGAATGCCAGAGATGAAAGCTGAGAGGGAGAGAGAAATCCATGCAAAATGTACTGGTAGAAGAGAGTTTTATCGATACTATGGACTATCGGAGGGACAAATAAATCAGTTCTAGATCAAACAAAGCCTTAAACTTTCCCTAGAAACTAAAATGACGAAACTAAGGCTATAATATATTTTGGATATGAGAAGACCAGACCTTCTGGAAAGGGCAATAATGGTAGAAGTTGAAGGAGGAGAGAAACATGAAGACCTAACATGAGATGGGTTGCCATAATAAAGGAAGTCATGGCCTTTCATTCACAAGCCCCATAAAGGGCGGTGGATAACAGAACTTGATGAGGTCATTAAATCACAGGGTTGCAATCAGACAGAAGTGACCTGATGGCACAGAATAAGAACCGAGAGTCAGAGGTCATTCCTGATCACAAAGAGATCTACCCCCAAAAAATCACAGTCTAATTTCCAACTACCCAGAGAATTGATTTGATGAACAAATCAATTCTCCAAAAGTGATCTTTCCCTTGTCAATCAATTCTGGCACTATTCAATTTCCAAAGTGGCCCACCTTCCACAAATGTTGCAAGTATAAAGGTGTGTGCATTAATGCCAAAGTCGTACTTCTGCAGCCACCTCTTTTTTGTTACCTTGTAGAACAACTTAGAAAGCATTTAGGGCTTGAATTTAGCACATTAAATTCATGCAGATTTCTATAAGAGGAGTTAGACTGCAATCGTAACACACTTCTTATAAGCACCACTGAATACCGAGGGACCACTTTCCAAGCAAAGAGACGTAAGGTGGCACAACTCTGTACCTTTTCAACTTTCTCCCATTAATGTTTTAGCACAAGGACAGGAGATGCATGGCTTTTCAAATATTACTGAACCACAACTCCAGTAATTTCCACTTCCGGCAGTGCATCCCCTAGCCATTATCATCCCCAGCCTAGGGGACTGACACGAAGTGTAGTCCAGAAACACTCCCGAGGACCATGAGTTACCTGTCCCACTTCCAACAGCACAGACCTATGTCTACTCAGAAGAAATTCCACTGACCTCAACTTGGGCTAAAGTACAACCCTTTGTGATAAATAAAAAAATAAATAACATAAAAATAATGCAAATAAAAAAACAAAATCACACCACTTGGGGGGGAATTAAAAGCTACTGTCAGTCCTTGGAGAAGTGGGGGGATGTCTTATGACTTTCTTCTCAATGAGGCAAGATGTAAGGAATTTCGAGATACCCAGTGGGGTGTAGTCTACAGTGGATATGGTGACAGATTGGGACTCAGTCATGGGAACTCAGATGTGCTTCGATTTGGATTCCTGCCTTGAGCAGGGAGTTGGACTCCATGGCCTTATAGGCCCGTTCCTACTCCATGACTCTAGGAGTCCAGTTATTTTGGCACTCTGGTCCTGCTTCAAGGTTCCTGTACATAGCTGCTAGTCTTGTTCCTAGTCACCACCCCAGGCAAAGTTATGACATGAGATCCAGTCGACAGATTAAAGTAACAAAAAGAATGGCTTGGCAGTTGATGTAAGGGGAACAGACATCCAAGGATAATACTGTACTGTGAAAAGAATCAACCACTGCAGCATGACAGTCTCAGATACAAGCACTAATGACACTCCAACGGTATTGGGCCTCATCAGATAAAAACCACTTCCGTCACAGAACAGCCAGCACCAGGAAAAAAGTTCACACAGATCTGAAATGGAATAAGTTTGGTGATCAAGTGGAGCTTAGCAGAACTGTCTCAGGCAGGCAGACATACACTTCAATTTAAGGACCAAGGTGAGTTAGAATCAAGTAGCTCAGTGGTTTAGGTCTCTGGCCCAGAGGCTGGGAGTTCAATTCCCCTCTTGTGCCTCCTTGACAATGGGCTGGACTTCATGAGCCACAGGGTCCCTTCCAGCTCTGGAATTCTAAGATGATGATGATGACGACGACGATCAACGACGACGATGACGATGACGACAACGACGATTATTATTATTATTATCGTTATCGTTGTTATCGTTGTTGTTGTTGTTTTGTTGTTGTTGTTGCTGTTATCATCATCATCATCATCATCATCATCATCATCATCATCATCATCATTATTAAAGTCAGCCCCAAAGTGTGTTTTCAGTGCTAGAACTGAGCTGTACAACTTTTCTCACTCAAAAAGCTCAGACATACAGACTCCCAATTCGGAACAGGAGTAAAAACTTTTTCAAGTGTTGTTCGTATTATTAAAAATCTGGGGGGGTCAGAAACCCCTGTAAGGCAAACTGTGAGATCTACCCGTAGATTCCCCATCTGCCGTGCCGTTGGCAAATCCAGCAGCACCAGTACTTGGCACTTCATGCAATGTTTACAAACACGCCCTCTGCGCCACATAAGGGCAGAGAGAGAGAGAATCGAGGGGAAACTGGCATTTGCCGCCTGCTCCGCCAGATGTCTGCATAACGCAGATCTCCCTTCCGCTCCTTTCAACCAGGCCAAGAAACGTACGGTTGGTCGATTCAAAGGGTAGGCAGAAGTGCCGCCGAGAGCAGTGAACTCCTAGTGATGCAACCCTGGCAAAGGAAGGGACAGATGGGTTGGTGAGCTAAACGACAACCCAATCAGCAATAGATGGAAAAACTCGCGAGGCTGACTTTTGGGTCGAAAAGATACAATTGTCCCATTTTGGTAAGGTCGCAAAGGTTTCAGGCTGATGTCCAAATGTGACGGAACTGGCATTCTTTTGCGTGCCCGCAATTGTCCTGAATGAAACTAGGAGGAAGAGGAAAGTTCACCCGGATGCCGGTTACCCATTCCTCTGAGACACAAGCTCCTGGTCAGCAGCACGGAGGAGGGTAGCATCTGGAGTAGGAGCAGGGCAAGAGAGGCAGGGACTACAGGGGGCCATCGTTCCCAGGGAAAACCGGGTTAAGGATTCTGCAGCACATCACCTACCCATTTATTTATTTAATTTACAGGATTTGCTCTTTTCCTCCCTACAGGCAGGGCTGGCCTCGGTTTCCTAATGCGTCTTCCAGTGACATAAATGGAGGGCGGCTGCTACCGAGGAGGCCTCATCTCCTCCTCGAACATCACCCATTTTTCCACCCCCTGCAAAATCACTGAATTATTGCTAGGATTCAGGCTCAGGGGCTTCCACCCGCACCCTCTCCACCGGCTTGCTTTTTTTTTCCTCCGGATCTGGGAGGGAACGAGAGAGAGGCGCCCTTTGTATATAGGCCTAGCTAACGGGGCATCTCATCCTGCACAACCGCTGGGCATCGCCTATGGAACAGCCTCTCGGAGAGGGAGCGCCCCGCGCAAGGGTCGGGTTTCCCAACATCAGGACCGACCCTCCACCGTCCGCGCCGATCCCCGAGGAAGCAAGAAGGTACAATATAACCATCCTTTTAGGGGTGATGATGAATCATCCTGGGGCTGCGATCGTCCGATCCATCCCGCCCAGAGCGCTTGCCGCGGGGACCCACCCTGGCCCAGAGGTCTGCTCGCGAGTAAGAGGACACCCCCCCCGCGCGCATCCCCACCGCCTCCCTCCTCTCCCTCACCTCCTCGGCCTGCTTGCGCAGCGCCTTCTCGCGCTCGTACTGGGTGAGGAGCTGCTCGTTGTCCTCCCGCAGCAGCTCCAGCTCCACCTCGTGCTCCTGGTTGTCGGTCAGCACCGAGTCGAGGTTCTCCAGCACCGTCACCACCAGCGGCATCAGCTCCTTGACCACCTCCTCGTCGTAGCAGCGGATGAGGCGCTCGAACTCGCGGTAGATGCTGTTGGCCAGGCCGGACACCCGCTCCGACATCACCGAGCCCGAGCAGTAGTCGTCCCCCCCGTAGCCCCCCACCCCGCCATCGTCCAGCTGGATCTCCAGCATCTTGCCGCCGCTGCCGCCGCCGCCCAGGCGCGCTCGCCTGGCTGCACCTGCTCCGGCGAAGAGGGATGATGGCCGGGCTCGGGGATGATGATGATGCTGCTGCCGCTGCCGCTGCCGCGTCAAGTCTCCACCTCCCGAGCACTTGATTGGCGGCGGCGGCGGCTCCGGCTCTGCCCGCCCCCGCCTTGCGCCACTGGCCACTCCCGGCGCCGGCGTCCCCTGCTGCCCCTTGCGCGCACAGGCGCACCAGCTAGCCCGGAGGATCGCGGGGCGCGCGTCCCCCCTGCCTCGCCGCCAATACGGGAGCGGCTTTCGCGGCTCTGCTCCCCTGAATCGTGTGCGTGCGCGGCGCCCCGGCGTCACCATCACGACTGGGGAGCCGTCTCCCCAAAGATCAACACTGGACATCTGTTATTTGCTACCTGTTATAGGCCATTGTCATTGTGATTTAAGTTAAATCATTTTAGTTAAATAAATAAATAAACAAACAAACAAACAAATAAGAAGAAGATGAAGAAGAAGAAGTTATTAGTAAATATTAGTAAATAAGTTACATTTACTTAAGTGGCAATATCTCTATAACTGTTTCATTCATTATAAAGTTCACTGCTGTTATAATGCCTCGGCTACACTGTCAATCGGTTATAGATTTGGACCTGACCGTGCATCTGAATTGTTCTATAGGGAAGCTACCATATAAGCCTGTAAAAAAATCAAAACTGAAAAACTTTGGGGAATTTTCTGTCCGGTTTCAAATAACCAAGGTGTTCTGATCTGGTTAAACCCCTTAAAACTCCAACTCCGTCAACCATCAGTCCAAGTTTGTAAGGGTTTAAGTCAAATCCTACCTTCCGTTCGTAATGCATTTTGTATATACCCACCCATGCCCCTGGAAAAGGGACCTACCAAACACCTGGACCCAGATGTGCCTTGGCAAGCCAAGCCAAGCCATGGGAGTGGTCAGTGGCACAGGGCAAAGGAGGACTGGGTGGGTGGACAGAGCAAAAAGCCATCAGGAGCATGTTACAGATCATTCTCCCACCATATGGACAGGGACTTTTTGGTGTGGATAAGGTCAGTCTGTTTTGGTTCATTCCCAGCATATGCGATTGCTGGAAAATAATTAAAAAATGATCCTGTTTGAATTAAATACTTCCTTGGCTCCGTGGAGGGGCCAAGGAAGTGGGGAAATTTTTTAAAGAGTGTTATAGCAGTGCATATGCATGGCATCACTTGGGGGGAAAAAAGCCAAATAGAAAATTTTTTCCCAGTACTGGGAGGAGACAAGAGAGGCAATGAGGGGGATTTTTGTTTGCTAAAGGAATTCAGGAGAACACACCAGAAAATAACAAAGCTTAGCTAGCTGGTACTCACCTGCTAGCGTAGAGTCAGCCTAATTCTCAAATATATGCAGAGTCCATCCTTCCAGGCATTGCAGGACAGCAACTCAGCAGAGCATCCACCCCTAAGAGACAAGGCGAGAGATGCAACAATATTTTTTATCCCTCTTTATATCTCAAATGCCATGTTCTGAACCCTTTCAATCACATTTGAATTCCCTCTAATGTCCATGAAGACAAGAGCATCTCTTCACACAACTGTAATCATCCTTCAGTTAGAATGGTGCCAGGGAGGAAGCGGACTGGCTTTGATGTCCTCTTTCACAAAACTCTGGGCAGTCATTTCCAGCCGTTTAAGGCAGATGTTAAATAACATAAGAGACAAAACAGGACCCTTCAGACTCCTCCAGGAAGGACTGGCGCTACTGTGAAACAGTCCCTCCAAGTCCCATTCCAGAAAGATGGGCCAGAAGGATACCAAGGTCTGTGGTATTGAAAGCAGCTGAGAGGTCCAGCAGAACCAGCAGGGACACACTCCCACTACCCGGTTCCTGCCCTAAGTCATCCCCAAAGCAGTCCCTGTCCCATAATCAGAATTTATTTATTTTTAAATTTATTTTTATTTCTAAATAAGTACATTTATTAGGTGATCCTAATCGTGGTTTTGGGGTATGTGAAATATCCGAGAAGTACTTTATGATTACCACCCCACATCAAGGAGGGATTTTTAACCCTGGTTTCCTGAGCCCTGCATCACACTGTGTCTCATGCTTGGAAATACTCTGCCTTACTTTATATTGGAAAGAGAAAACGTAGCCTCGGTTGCCATCGATAACATTACCGGTGGTGAGAGATGATGGGACTTTCTGACAAGCCACAGTTTGCCCACCACTTCTTTCAAGGTTCCATATTTGAGGGTCAGGTCGCAATTTAGGGGAAATGGTTATTTCTTGCTGTTAATGTGTTTTCCCCTCCAGGCATCAAAGCTGTAACTAGGGCAGGGCAACTGGGAAACTTTGAAGGTGCAAAAATTGCTGCTGGCAGACCATGAGCTCAACCCCCCGGGGGTGTATACAACACTTCCAGCCTCTTCCCGCTTAGCAGAAAGAAACCCAAAACAAGCAGGCTCAGCATGGGACCGAGATGACATTTTACACTGGTGAAAGTAAGTCATACAGACAGTTCTAATTTCTGTAGATGTCAGGCAGTAGGTGGTGGGGAATGGGAGTATATATCGAAATACAGGAGTTTGGTCTTAAAGGAAATAAATAAAATACTTCCATTAAATACAGAGGTTTGCCCTAAGATAGTTTTTTTAACCAATTTTTATAAGGAGCAATGGAGCTGGGCAATGAAAAAAATAATAATTTTGAATTTATTAACAGCTGCAAGATTAATGAAAGCAAGAAATTGGAAAGTTAAGCATGATTTTTCAATTAGATGAATGGTATTCAAAAGTTTGCAATATAGCCATCAATTATATCTTAACATGTACTATGAATATTAAAAAGAGATTGATACGTAAGAACAGCTTTATTGATATATGGGGAGAATTTATAGAGTTTGTGTTTTAAAAAGGGAAGGGTTCTGTACCTTCACAAGACTCAATGTAGTTTTGGAAGGGGAATGGGCTCCGTAATTAGGGGAACATTGGTTAGATCTCCAGATGGTCCCAGTGGTAATGAGGAGCATTTTTTTGTATTGTGTTATTGTTGTGTTTTTGGTTAGTTGTGTCTCATTTTATTTTTTTACAGTTGTTTGTTGTAAATGTTTTTATAAAATGTTAAAAAAATTAAAGCGTGGAACCAACGTGATTGTTTCTTCCTCTCTTCCCATGCCTTGCTTGAGCCAAGCTTTCCTAGCGAACAGCAAAGCCCTTCGGTGCCGCAACTGCCAGCTACTTCTGCAAGGCCTGCAGTTCCTTCAAAGGCCAGTGCCTGAGAAATCAGACCTACAAACGAAGTGTGATGGCCTTTTACGGATCAGAAACAAGCTCATATGCAAAATGTGAACTGAAGCAAGTGCCTGTTAGAATGAAAGATCACCACTTTCTAGTGATGTGCCCGATGGATGGTCCCGTTCCTGGACTGGTCATGCATTTCTTTCAGCTCTGAAAATAAGTATTTTAGTCACTCGCACAAATACCTGTTTAAACGTTCTATTTCTTCTTAATTTTCAGATTATCTTGATTCATGCTTCTTGCATTTCATGTCTTAGTTACAGGCACTTGTTCTCAAGTGTCTCAGCTTTAGCAGCCCCCAACCCTCCTCCTTCTTCGGTGGTGGTGGGTAGGAATGGGGTGAGCATGGTACAGGGGGCCAGTAGGGCTGAGCTGGTGCCCGACAGGGGCAGCATGGGTGGCAGCTGGCCCCAGTGCCCCTGTCAGCCTCGCCCTCCTCTGCAATGGGGAGGCCTATGTGGGGAGACAGCAGCACCCTGAGGGGACTGGAAATGGGCTCCACCGGCAGGCAAGGCCAAGGCTAGGCCAGGGCCCTTGCCCAGGTGAGCAGCGGTGGCGAGGTCCTTGCAGCGCTATATCCACAACCGAAGGAGCAGTAAAGGCACACAAGGGTTGCCATGCTGACCGTGCCAGGGCCACCAGGACAGGAAGTGCAGGACAGGTTCTGAGGAGCAGGAGGAGGGAAAAAGGCTTAAAGCGCCGCACACCCTTTTTTCTCCTTGCCTCACATCCTAGCCTAGCCACTGACAATGCTCCTGCTACTGCCAACTGTTCATCAACTCCTCTTTCACATCCTCCTTGCCATTGAGCTTGAATTTGGGCTGTATTCCAGTGAAACTTTCCTTTTGCTTCTGTGCGCATCAGCAACTAGATGTCCTTTCAGCCTTAATCCCTTTACTTAATTAGTGGCAGTGCTAGTTTTAGTTATTTGTTGCTCTTCCAGAACATTTCATAATGTGGGAGTCTCATCTTTCACCATCATCTCTTACTTCCCTCTAGATTGTCTCCTCAAGGATTTTCATGGTGCAGATATTCAGAAGTAGTTTACCACTGTGTAGTACTAATAAGAGTGAGCTGGACTGTCATTACTTGTTGGTTATGAAAGATCCTCTGCTGATTTCCTCTTTCATTTTTGATGCCCGGCAGCTGCTCTTCAATAATTTTTGTCGTTGAAATGTCAATTCTTTCTCTGATGTAATTGTTAATTCCTGAAGAGGATAGATGCATCTGGGTTTATCCTGATTAAGTGTGTGTCTTGGATCAATGTAGATTGCAAACATGGTCCCTTTCCCCCTTTCAATCACTCCAAACCTCTAAATCAGTTTTAATTTTGCCTTCAATGTAATCTAGTATCTCCTGCGTCACATTTCCCCACTCCAGGGATGGGGACTTGAATTGTTGGACTTGATTCGGACTTGAGTCGGTTGTTTTTTCCCAGTGGGTCAGACTCAGTTTACGACTTGGAACCCACTCACCCCTCTCTTTTTTCTAAGAAAAAAAAAAAAGCTTGTTTTTAATAGGGACTTAGCCTTGGGGTTTGGAACTCGAGACTTGGTGCGACTTGGAACCCACTCACCCCCTCTCTTTTTTATAAGAAAATAAAGCTTGTTTTTAATAGGGACTGGGCCTTGAGGCTTGGAACTCGGGACTTGGTACCAAAAACCAACTGAGAGAAAATCCAAGTGAAGAAGGAAGAAGAATCCTTGGGGTTTGGAAC